TTTGAAAAATTGAAAAAAGTACATGTAATTCAAAGATCTATCCCAGGATTAGTTTGCAAATTGTTTTTAAATTTAATGTTATTATAGTAACAAAATAATAACATTAATAAATGAGGAACTGACACAGCTGACACTAAGGCAACTGGCCATTTTATTTTAAAATTTGTATCTATTTAGATTTAAAACATTAGAAAGGCTCTAGCTATCCTTTTATAAGCAACAAAGAAGGAAGTAGAAAACTAATTCAGAGATTACAAAATAAGTTTTGGTTTGGTACTACTTAAATTGCTCTATGACCCGCTGTACATCAGTATGACACCAAGGAAGTGCTGCTTTCTGGTATTACATAGCTATGTTAGATTCTGATTTAAGATTAAGTTTTAAAGCTGACAATTACACCAGCATATGCTAAGAACCTGGTTTACAGGATTTCTGTGTTGCTATAGCTGCCCCATGGAAACAGCTGTTTTCAATAATCAACAATGGTATTTTCTTCAAGAAAAATACACAATGCACCCTCTCCCATGTCAGCATCACAGGCACAGATACAGCCAGTAAACCAGCAACCACCACATTGCAAAGCACAGTCAGTATCAAACTTCTGTCTGCAGTTCAAAGTCAGGGTGTCTCTGAAGTCCTCTCTATGCCTTTGCCCTTCCAACTGCTTTCACTGGTGGGAGTAAAAGGTGGGGTTTTTCTTTCAGTGTTATGGATGATGAAAGAATCCCTCAAGTCTTTAAGTCCAGGGTCATGGTTTTGGGCTTTAAAACTTCTCCAAAGAAACAAGTGTCAGAAAGCCTTTTACACCTTTTTTAGAATCAGTTCCCCCAGGACAGGACCATACTCACCCCATACTCCCACTCACACATTTTTCTCTTGTACTACAGCAGCAGCATGGTGGGCCCTTTGGTAGGCAAAGTAGACCCCTCCTCGCTTCATTCACTTGGTCCACCCCTTTGGTAGTTTATGTCCTTCAGTTCTACTTTGGAGGCTTTTAACGAGAGCTGTAAATGGTTCAGAGGCACCTCCCTTTATTAAGAAAGAGTAACAAAAAAATTCAATAAAAAAATGACTCAAAACTCAAATCACGAACACATTAAAATGTGCCACTGCATTTAGATGAACATGAAGCTCTAATGAATAGGTTACACTTAGGATCTTTCACCCTTTGTTTATTCATTGCTTGTATCAGTGACTCATTCCCCCCACAGGAAAATCAGCAGAAGGGCACTCAAGGGAATGTTTCACAACTACTCCTCAAATTTTCCCCCCTACCTCCTCCCCAGCTTCATCCACTGCTGGTTCTAGCTCCAGTACAGCATGGGCAACAGCAGCAGCAGGTATGAAGGGATCACCGGGACTGCAAGATATTCCTTCTGTCTCTTTTCTGCTCTGGGCTTTCTAAGGCTGCAAGAGGAGCTGCATGACAGAATGTCTTTTCATCAGATCTGCTTTCAAAACCTAAGAAAGGTGGCAGCAGTTCGCACAGTATAAGCATTTACACAAAGTCCTACATTGCTTTACTAAGATTTTGTAGAAGACTAAAAGCAAAAATCCACACGTATGTCCTTTCCTTGCTGCTGGTCCCCTTCCTGCATGGACCAACCACTCAGCATGCTCTCTGTGGTATGTGAAGGTTAATGCTATGACATGCATTTAAGGGAACACTATGGAAGTTCTTATGTCGTATTTAGGTATATTTGCTGCAGAATAAAGAGTGTATACGTTTTGAAAGCGCCCCATATTAAAATAAAAAAATCACAAGGAGGAGCTGTTAGCTTTACATCTGTACTAGTTTGGTTTACTTTCCAGTATGTTAGGAAAAGCCGGAACAGAAACCAAGTCTGCTGTTTGCAGCTGCTGAATACATCCTTATAATAAAAATGTGCATTAATTTAAATGGGAGAAGGAAGAATTAGTATTATTATTTGTCATTTTGTGAGCAAATGTCTTTTTGTGAACAAGAAATGGCCTTTATATTAACAAACATGAGATCAGAAACTTTTTACAACCGAGATTTCCCATTCACAGGGCCTGGGTTGCCAAAGGGGCAACAGAAGTGGAATACCCAGAAATTATTGTTTCACAGCCCAATAGAGTAATGTTTGGAAACTGTACAGAAATACCCACTTTGCCCCCACAGGAGAGGGGGAAAAGTGACATAAAACCCCCACAACTATCTACGCCAGCCTAAGACTAACAACTAACATTCTGAGGCACCGTGTGAGCAGTCAGAGCTTACACTTAATAGAATTTGGAAAGGTAGTTTCTACCTGACGTGAAGGTTACTATCAAACCAAGAGATGTTACATCATGGAAATAATGACATCTGTTACTAAACTGACTGTACTGTCAACTGAGATCACGTTTACATGTTTTAACAAGAGAACACATGAGAATCTGGTACATGGATGTGGTACATCCACACAAATATTATGTAAACACTGCAGTCAGTATTTATAGGTTTCTGTCTTCTGTGGAAAATGCTATTTCTGTGAGTACATTGCAACTATTATGATAGGGTAAAGTTTGTTCTCAGGTAGGATACTGTCTTTCAAAAGAGTGCTCTTCTGATGGAGAGCAAAATCATGGCAGCACTGTGAACACAGGTCTTTTGATAAGAGAAAAGCACTGCAGACATACAAGCTACACCCTTAGCAACAAAACAAAATCCAAAACAAAAAAAAAAGTTCACCTCATGAGGTATCTTAAGATGCTGGAAGTAAAACCTTTGTCAAAGGAACTAAGTGTTGCAAAGAATGGCGAAAAGCAGTAACAGTTTGGTTTCTTTTCAAATAATTATTTAAATTTAGTCTCTGTACTTAATATTACATGAAACTTGAATCCATTTTACTGCTGGTACAGGCTATATGCTCCAGGTGTTCAACCTTCCAATTTCTGTACACATTTCGATGTTATATCTCCAAAGCTCTAGGTCCTGGCGCTCCAGGACAGTTGGGAAAGTGCCTAGAATCAAATCTCTGGCATTCCATGCTGTTATGTGAGCATAAAAAAAATAAGTCAGGACTAAAGACTCAGGCAGTGCTTGATGAGAAGCTATCCTTTTGGTTAGGAACCCAAACCCCACATTTTTGTAAATAAACAATGAAACCACTGCCGTATATAAATAAGCCAAAAACTTGCAGAGCTTGGGAAGCCTCTCATAGCAGATATTTTTCAGTTTGCTTCTCTGTCTTCACATTCACTGACAACTATTATTGCCGCATCTCGCTGTTTAAAATGGAAGCTATGAATGTAGACACTATGTGCTTCCACAGCTTTTAACATAGATACATCATTTCTCAGAGCAAACGGCAGCTCCTTGTTCAGTCACATGACATTGCACAATATTAAAATTCTCTCAGGATGAGGAGGAAACTGGAATGTTGCTGCCCTCTGAGTTCCTGGAGTCTCTGTACAGCATGATCTCCAGTACACTGTAGAATAATTCAGGCTGGATGGAATCCATGGAGGTCATCTGGTCCAACACACCACTCACAGTAGGGCCAACTTGGAAGCTGGATCAGGTTGCTCAGGGTCATTTGAGTTCCCAATACGTTCAAGGATGGGGATGTCACAGTCTCTGTACAAACTGTTTGATCAATTTCATTTCAAAAAAGCCTATCTATTCTATTTCCCTTGCTGCAAATAGATCTGCAAAAAATTAGTAACCTCCAAAATTAAATGTATAAATAAGACTAATACATATTACAAATATAGGAAATAAAGACATGTCTGTAAATTTACTCAAATACTCTTTTGAACAAACCATTTAATAGGTCCAGAAGCACAACAGACTATGAATGCCGAAAAATCACTTCTTTATACAATTTTATTAATGTAAGTTCTATTCACATTTGTTGTCAGCAGTGGAAAACTTGTCTGCTATGCAGATAGGCTTAATACCCAAACGGTGCAACTGAAATGACTGAAAACAGAACTCAAGAAGCTCAATAACTATATTGCAAACCTACTTAGCAGACATGATTAGAGTAAGAAGTCTTAAGATGAGATTTCTTAAAGGACTTATTTTAATTTCAACTTAAACTAAGATTTCTGAAATAGACAAAACTTAAAATTGTGTTTAACACCAACTGCGTAACTGAGCTTGCTTCTGTAATACCTTCAGAAATAGCGTTAAGCAAATGTGAATCCATAATCTATGCCAAAAGGCTTAAAATCTATCTTGCCTAATTTCAGCAGTCTAAAAGTTAGCCTAGAATTTTTCTAAACTTTCTACTGTCAGAGATAGGGTAGAGTGATCTCACTTATCTAAAGATGAAGTTTCACAAAAGTTTAATCTCTCTCCACTGATGATCTAACTTAGACTAGGTGCCTAATAATTAGACTGCCTACCTTAATCTCATCTATTTTGAGTATTTAGATTGCTGCATCTGTAAGGGGGGGGGAACTAGACAAAGAAATCACTGTGAAAAATGTACACAGACATCAAATAATTAGTGTTCAGAAGCTTAACCAATTAATTTTTTTTAAATTCTGTAACAAATGCATTTTTTACAAAACAAACAAACAAACAAAACCAAACAAAAACAAAGCACTAAATTAGCCATGGCTTCAAGAGTAAGTGAAAACATATACAGTGAGTTCAAGTATTTGATTACCAGACCAACATACATACAAAAAGCATAATTTAATTATCATCATTTTGCATTGAGGAAGCATTAACAATGCATTTTTTAATGGTCATAAGTCTTTATGAACATCTATAATCCTAATACAAATATCCAAATTATTAGTATTAGTCATTTAAAGTGTTACAAATAAGATGTTCAGTAACTCTGCATTAAATGTTAACAAGCCCTTTCTAGAAGAATTTTAATTTACAGTTATTCTTTCTAACAATTCTTTGTACAGTAAAAAAAAATTAGATTTCTGCTTCCCTTTCCCACCCAATCATTCATAGTTTTGCTCTCAGACTGAGCTACTAGCCAATCAAACCTGATGGTAAAAAACCTCTCAACCAAGGGTCCAAGATCTCGGTTTCAGCATCCAACTCAAATGCTCTTTGGGAATAAAATCCATGTTTTTGTATAATGTGCAAAGTGCAAGTTTTCTCCAGTGGTATCATAAGTGCGTGCTGCCAACAACTTCACCACGGAATAAGACAGTAACAATTAAGACTTTGATTTCCAGTAGCTCTGTTACAGAAAAATTGTTAGACAATGTTTACATGAATGACAGATCAAGTGCATTATATACCAGTGCTTATTAGGTCAGGTACTCCCTGATTTCGTTAGGCCAAACCAACGTTTTTACTCAAGTTCTTCAGTTTCCTCTGTAAAAAGGTCAGCCAAATCTGCCACTGTCAGCACTGAGGCTTCTGACTGTTTCATGGAAGAGCTCGTGTGGCTGTGGGAAAAAATTGCATGCAGACATCAGAGAAGGACTCAAGCTAAGTAACAAGCTGTATGCACTGAAGACAGACTACACAGTTCAGAGTCTGGTAACCGCTGAGCTTTGAAGCTGAGCTGGAAAACACACTTTCTATCATGGAAAACACATACAATGATCAGCCACTTCTCTTGCACATTCTGAGTAAGATACAAAGTCCACCTACTGTCCCTAACAGTGGTCAACATCAAACATTGCAGAGGCAGCAGAACATGGGATAATCCACTTTGCCCTCAACATCTGAAGGATTGGCTTCAGCTTCCAAGCATAAGGTTTGATACTACTTTCAAAACATTAGTCCTCATTGGATCACTCAACCACTGTACATTTATCTGCATTATACATGCAAAAGTAGTGCTGCTTTACAGATAAAAAAACAGATTAAATCATTCTTTCAAAGCTGAAGCTGAAATCTTTCATAACTACAGCCAAACATATGCATATAAATTTTCAGTCTCATAAATTGTAACAGCCAAAGAAATTGGAAAAATAACAGTCTCTTAGACTAAGGCTCCTCCTCGATTTGTTATGCATGTACAATATAGTTAAAGAGATATAAAACTCCTGTACTTTCTGCATAAAGAATATATAAACACCACTTCTGTTCCAGCCCTAGGCTATCACTGCTTACAGATTTTGAAAAGATAAACACAGCGAAAACTGCTTTCTGTGTCTGCACACCAGACTGACTTAAGAGCTAGCATCTGGACTGACTGCAAAACCAACCAGTGTGACACAGAACTGACAGACTAGGTTTGTAGGATTTAAAAATAATGAAATAAAGAATTAATGTCCTATATCAGAAATTACAATATATGCTGCTATTCCAGGGGCAGGCTTAGTATTACTCTATTAATTGAAATGCTTTTATACTAATGGAAATAGGTAAACTGAAAAGATAAATCATAATACAGTTTATTAATTAACTGGGCTTTTATAAAATAAAATATACAAAATGTAACCAAAATATTTCCAGAGAATTAAAATATCTTAAGCTTCAAGTTACTGGAAGCAGGTTAAAAGACTGATTTTTCAGGTCTTAAAACTTCTTTGTCAATCAAAACAATTTGAAGAAGAACAGATGAGGTTTATATGTAAGGTATGCATACCTAATTGAATAAAGTATGGATGAGAACCACCTTTTCATTTTCAGTGCAATTATGATGTTTTTAAAAAATTCAAACATACCTTCTATCTACAGTTTTCAGCATAGTCTGCATTCTCTCTTCTATTGTTGCTTTTATCAGGAACCTATGAACAATTGTAGGTCTGAATGTATATAAAAAAAGAAAAAAAACAAAAGTGAGCAGAAGTTATGCTGTTACTGCCAAAGTTCAAGATCACGTTTCTGTCTTCTACTAATTGTTTTAAGAGTGCTGAAAAAATGCCTCTGTATTTCAAGAAATCTTACAAGGTGACTGATAACTTTCATCAACATTTAAGGATGCTTAGTGTCTCCCAGAGCACACACTTCCACTTGGCTGCACCACATACTAAATGAATACAATCTGTATTAACTAAAATCCTAAAGCAGATGCTGGGAAAAGGTCTGCTTTCTGTGTCCATACTATAAACAAACAGCCCTCAAGAGCCTAGCCTGTCATTCAAAGACATTACTTTGGCCCACTGGTTATACACTATGTTTACACTGCATTGTCACGTGTCAATTCAAGAGACAGAGCTCAGTGTGACGGATAATTAAAGCTCATTCCCAGAGTTTTAATAATTTTGTTCTTGAAGATGACAAAATACTACAATTTTTTGTTTTTAAAGTCAGTAATTGTAGTCAGCAAATGTGAAATTGTAAACACCAGTAAAACACAAAAACCACAATGTCAATAAACATAAACCAAAAAGAGAACTCCATTTATGCAATACAATTTCAAAAAGAGAGCTGTAATAATAAAATGTCAGGAACGAAAAAGTGAAATGGAAAAGTCAGCTCCAAAGATAAAAATGAAAAATCATTCCAGGCTTCCCAGTATAAACATTTTTCAAGATATGAACCCTTGAAAGTGTTTGGACGGTTTTCAGATCTTAAGTTGAAACTTCAGCAGGTAACTTCACACAGAGAAATTCTGGGGGAATACTTTGTGATTCACAGGGAAAGGTCTATCCAAAAAAAGAATTAAGAACAACAGTTGCACCAATTAAACTAAACAAAGTATTCCTTTATGCTTACTGTACTGGAACACAGCCCATTTTCAAATAAGCCTTACTGAAGTCTTAATTCCTGCTGGTTTTATTGCAAGGTTTTTTGCCAGACCTTTTGGGCCAGCATCATGTAAAATTATAATGCAGGCTGTTGCAATCAATCTTTCCTATGCCCTCACAGTTAACACAAAATCTTTACCAACACACCCAAATATCCACCTGTTCATAAACATTCTTTCACATACATGCTCATTCATGCCCTCTTGCTTTGCCTCCATTTCCAGAACCCCAAACCCATTACTATTCTAGAACATTATTATTCCAGGAATGATTCAAGCTACTTTTCTTCTTCATGTACAAGGCTGTTTTTGTTGTGTTTTTTTTTCAAGTGACATGAAACCTAAGGAAAACATATATATCTTAACCATTCAGGACAAACTTTCAAAAACCTTTGTTAAGTGTTCAGTACAACCCATGTAAAATCTACAACACTGAAATAACCAGAAGATATGCAGACTCATTAATGTCTTCAAAAAGATCTCAACAGGTGTGAGGACAAAACTGTGATATAAAAACTGATGAGTTCTAAAAAGTCTGTGTTATAACTTTCTTTTTGGGAAAAAAAACCTCTAATCAATAAACAAAATAATAATAACAATCCACACAGAACCCTCCAACAGCTTACGCAGCTCCTAATTGGAGATGGGAATGACCAGCTGCTAGAAGGAGCCTCTCAAGGAAAAAAGGAAGGGCCTGAACTTAGCTGCATATGACATAAAAGGTGAGTTGCTCAGACCTGCAAAGCTAAGACATTTCTGGACATGCTTACAAGCACAACTTCAAAGTTAAGAAATAAGGCATCACCAGCAGACATAAAATAGGGCAGCAGCTGAACTAAGTTTTTCAGGCTTTTGGACTCAAGAGCCTACACTCTTCCCAAATGCATTTCGCTTCTGTATCTTACCCTCACAGAACAAAAGAACTCCCAAAAATACACATTGTCTATTCTCAGCAAACTTTTTTAAAAAAATTTAATCTTTCTGTCCCTTTTATGATTACCTTTAAAACCAGAATTCCTATGAATACCCTTATCTCCAAAATAGAGAAGCTCAGTGAATTAGATTTATTCCAATTACAGTATGCAGTTCTATTCTGGACCATATCTAAAGCACTCAACAGAATATTAACTCTTACTTCGTTTGGCCGATACGATGTACTCTGCCAATAGCCTGTAGCTCATGTGCAGGATTCAGAATGGGTTCTACAAGCAGAACGTGAGTTGCTTCGATGATGTTTAGTCCATTGGAACCAGTGTGAAGTGGCAGCAGCAAAATATTGATGTTGGGATCATATTTAAATGCAGAGAGATTTTCCTAAAAGGGAAACATCACAGCAGTGAGACAAAAGTCTCTCAATAAAGAATGTGTGGGACATCTCTGTATTTTCAAGAAATTATAGCAGCTACTACAGGCCCCAGAGTGACAGTCTTGCAGCCTGACTGATCCAGACCGGTCATACCCAACAGGTATCAGGAAGGCAAGAATTTCTTGCAACATCGATCAGTGTGTCTCATCCTTAACATCTACACCAACGCCCCTTTCTCAAAGGTAAATGCACTGTTTAGCTCCAAAGACTTCAAATTGTGGCTTTTTGTGATTATGGTTTTTAGAATTAATGAGTTGGAGATCAAAACTTCTTCCAAACTGATTTGCTGCTCTTTCAGTTTCTCAAATGAAGTCGTGAAGTAGAGGAATCGAATTAACTTCTATGAACTGTTATTTTCCCCACTGAAAATAATTTTAAGAAAAATATTTTCTATGTACCTGAAATTTACTAATTCCATTGATCTGAGAAAAAATCATGTTGTTGTCATACAAAGCTTTTGAAATTATGTCCAGTACATCTTGCCACTGAAAAAAACCAACAAAACAACACAATAAAAGTACCTGAACATGACAAACAGCAATGACAACTAAAAATATACTAATTAACTTCCCTAACAGTAGATAAAAAGACCTTTCAAAATACCAGCATTTGCAATTGAAGAAAAGGAAACAAAAAAAAGAGCTGTGTGCCAGGAATTGAATCTTTCATAAAGCCAAATATGAAAAGTAATTAAAAAGATCAGCTTGAATAAAAGAAAATGGTAGCCATCACAAAAACAGTTTTACAATGTATCAAAAATATCTAGACATTTCATTTAAAAATATCTAGAATTTCTAATGCTCCCATATAAATCTAAGTGTTTGCCCTCTTAAGAAACAAGCTTTTACATCTGCTGACTACCATCATTGTTCATGTCCCAGTTACATGAATTGCCCTACAAATTCTCAAAACAATCAAGTGGCTGTACAGAGTGATTCAACATTTCGGTAGCTAAACCAATTCCTGAAAATATCATGACCGCTTTAAATTCACAGACACACACACAGACATACAAAGACAAAACAGAATGGTAATTAATACCGTTGAAAAAACTAAGGATTTAGCTCCTGGATCTTTAAACTGAATTCTCTTCAGTGTTCGAACCACAGCTTCCACTTTGGTGGAGTGACTTCCCTTTAAAAAGTCAAAGAACAGCATTAGTAAAGTACAATATTAAACAACTCCTTCCACAGTCATGGTTTTATTAAATAATGTTATATTACGACTCTCACATATCTTCACCCAAATTTAAAAATTAGCAACCTGGAGGAAGGGCAGGTTAAGCAGTACTGACCTACTTTTACACTTCCCTTGTAAGGCACTGCCATGGGATCAGTAGTGTATTACAGTGCGTGCAGCGCACAGAAGAACCAAGTGCCACACAGATGCACCTCTCTAGTTCTATGTGGGGCAGAATGGACAGCCCAAGCAGCGCAGTTGCACCAAAATGCCAGTTAGGCCTGCTGAGGTTTGACTTAGTGGCACATCTTTAAAGAATCTTCCAAATACACATTTAAATTTCCCTTCCTTCACGTCTCTTGAAAACTGGCAACAAAAACAACCGACCTGAACACTATTTCTGTTGCTTCTGTTTCTCACTCTGGCAACACCAAACTTATGCTCAGTACTATGAAGCTTGTTAATTATATTTAAAATAAGAAATTGGTAAATATAATTAAATGAATTCTTGAAGGATTGCATGCTACAATGAAAACATCTTCATATTCTGCATTCAGAAGTATTTCAGTGCTTAATGAATCCAATACAACATTCTACTTCTTGTCCACTTTGATTTCTGTACTCCTCCCTTTCCCCTCAGGAAGAATATTCCAAGAAAGAGTTCTTCAGTATCTCTCTCTACTTCCTTCAGTACGTACTCTGTATTACAGCAATTTTCCCTAATGCGCATTTTTTAAGAAGCCCTTATTTAATTCCTAACTAGTTCTTACATGCATAGTAATTTCAAGCTGCACTAGATTCAGCTGGACAAATACTGTTTTATTTCTGTCTGCACCTGTCCTCTGAACATTGAATTAACTATGTTGGCTTGCTACAATGACAGATCAAATTTACTGAAGTTATGCTGCTTGCAGAATTGGTGGGGAAGGATGGCAGCAGTCTAGGCACAAGTTGGGAACCAGTGCTGGGCTGCTCAATCCTTCACGTGTTATGCAGCTAAATAAATGCTTCAGAAATACATGTAAAAGACTTTCTGCAGACCTTTTTAAAAAAGGTTCCATTAAGCAGCATAATTTTACTTCCCAGTGTCTTCTACGGCGATTCCAACTCTGTGTCACATAGAAGTAAACCAGCTTTTTTAATGACATCTGTGTTGCACCTGGTAGACATTAACACTGTTTCCAAAAGCCACATGGACAATTAAAAATGCTTATGTCAGTAGGTGTTATGATCTGCAAGGGTGAATGACACATTTGCAGCCCTACAGCAGCCACTTGCCAATCATAACCACCTTCAGTTAGCAGATCTGAGATTAACTTTCAATATTTTCTGTCAATTCCATGGCCTTTTATATATTTTTCTGATACCATTCATCTGTGATTCAATGATGAGAATTCTGGCTAATCTGCTCTGTCTTTTCCTCAGAGACTTTTTTTGGACCTCACCATAGGTCCTATTTTTCCCTGCTTTAAGAGATAGTAGCTTTAGGTCACTGTTGATCTTTCCAACCTTCAGACTTCCTATGACTCAGGTGTTACAAATGTGACTTTGTACAGGATCAGAGGAACTATGCTGAAGAAACAGTGCAATGATCAAATGGTTAGGTTTTTTTTGCTTTATTTTTTAAACAAGATAACTAAGTAAGCAAAGTTCTCCATCACTCTGCTTACATTACATTAGACAAACTATATTAGACTTGTCATTAAACTAACAATTTGACTAAAGCTTTGGTTCACAGCACACACGCACAAAATCAATTTTGTTCTCAGTATTTATGGAGAGATGATATAGTTTTCAGTCTGTCTTAAAAAAAGGTTACCCCATTCTTTACCCATACACCTTGAGTTTGCCATTCTGTTGAATACTCAGCTGAGTAAAATAATATAAATAATAAATAATATCTATTATATTT